GGATTAGTCTCTGCTCTGTGCTAGAGATGGTTTTCCATCCCTTTCAGGGCAAAGACACAAGAAGAATCAAGGTTAAAAAGCCCCCAACACAATTCCATGGCTTGCCAGATATGCCTTAAGGTGAAGAAGGGCAAAATATAAACAGCACATTTTGACTGAACAACATTGTTAAGAATTGCTGGATTAGAGCAACAGCCTTTGTTTGAGCATCTTTTTAACCCAGCCCTCCATGATCAGACCAGCCTGCCCCAATTTGGCACTGAACAGATATGCGAGAATGTAAATTCCACCCCTCTCAGCCAGTCTTCTGAGTGGGGACAATGGAAATTGTAGTCTTAACATATCTGGAGAGTGCAGGACTGGGGAAGGGTAGGGCACCCAGACGGTTCTGAGGAGCCCACAGCCTTCCCTTACGGTTACCACACCCAAGCAACTATTATTTGGAGATACACTGCTTCTGAACAAAGAGGCTCTATTCACAAACTATCCTTTGCAAATTTGCCTAATCCTCTTCTAAAGCCATCTACCCAGGCAGCAGACCGTGGCCACATCCTGTGTCAGCAAATTCCATAAATTACATGTCTGCTCCATCAAATGATACTTGTAAAAAAGATCTTGGGTCAGCTGACAACTGCCCTGGGTGCCCACCTTCCCCAGTTCTGGCCCTCTGCATATGCAGGAAGGGGAGACTGAGTCTGAAATTATTTACTAAGAGGGAAGCTGGCAAGGTGTTGGAGGGGGGGAATGAGGGACACATACCCACTCCTAATTCCTAATCCTTTGCAATGGCATTCGATGGAACCTGAGCCAATCTGCTCTGATCGCTGTAGGTGGGGCAGGCTGGCTGGGTAGAGGGCATCTTATCCTTCATTCAATACCCTTGACAGTAAATCTTCCAAAGGGGCAGTGGAAAAAACTAAGTAGCTCTTCAGACGATGGTAGGAGGGCAAAAGCCAGCCTTTATGGATTTTATTACTTAATCAAATTGCTTCTCCTACCGAGGGAACAGCCATTACAGGAAACTACAGCTGCTTCCAAACCTCCCTTCCCATCAGCTGACCAGACCTCTTTCCAGCTTCAGTGATGGGTTTTCAGAAGTAACAAAGCAGATGTCGGGGCTGTGCTACAAAAACGTGCGCCTGCATAGGCAAGCTCACAGCCATTGCCATGGGAATAATTAACCTGGAATAACTGGCTACCACCGGATTCTGCACAAAACATTGTTAACACTGCTCTAATAATATCATGCTAATAGTTAATCCAGCTAGCAGGTGCCAACCTGGCCAAAACAACAAGGACACCTAGAATCATAGATATCCCAACAACAACCGCAAGGAAAACCTGCAAAAGCTAGAACACCTACCCCAAGAAGACAGAGCAGGCTTGGCAGCCACAGAACACGTCTTGGAAGAAAACGTGGAAAATAGAGGAGGGATGGAAAGGAACATGGTAGAAGAGGGTATGGTGGCTAACTGGAATACTGAACAGGACTATCTCATGCTGCAATATTTTGTAGTAGTTTCACTTCATCTCAGAATTCCCATTGTCCTGACACTGAATATCTTTGGGTGAAAGGTAGGGGAGAATTCATGATTTTAACACCACATTGCCCATAAAACATGGAGGGGGGGGAAGAGAGATTAAAATGTTCTGAAGGCGAATTCTTCTGTATTAAGAGATCTTGACTGAATTCCCCACACAATATTTTTTTTTCTTGTCTGCAGTGGAGAGCTTGTAAAACTGCCTGCTGCATAGAATCAGGAGCCACCAGTTACATTCCATACCTGCCCGGCACAGAAAAATTACATCACCCGGCACAAAAGTAAAGGCTGAGATGGGTCGCCTATTTTTTAAAAAATACCAACTTCCAGAATTCCACAGGCAGTACAGCCACCACCATCCAATCTATGGGATACTGGAAGCTGCAGTCCTTAAAGGAAAATGTTCAGTGGAGGTCCAAAACCTTCCTTGCTAAATATGTTAAGGCCAGCCTGCTGTTCAAGGCACAGTGGCACAGCCCTGTCAGATAACGGAGGTTGAAAACCTTCCTTGCTAAATACTGTATGTTAAGGTCAGCCTGCTGTTAAAGGCACAGTGGCACAGCCCTGTCAGATAATCCTAGACATCATCACGTCACATAATAAATGGATTCATTTGTCCTTTGTTTCATTTTGCATAGTGGAGAGGTTCCTATACATACTGTATGGTTTGTGGTTAACCAGGAGCAGGACTAACCAAAAAAGCAATCCAAGTTAAAGAGGAAGCAAAGTGAGAAAGCAAAGCATGCTTGGTTTTAGACCGATCTTTTGGTCAGCCAGTTTGAACAAAGAGGGTGGAATGCCACCCCCATCTCCCAACTGTTGTTTCATCCTTATTTAGGATGAAATCTATAAAATAATCTTAAAAGGGATGGGGAGAATTATCCATCGGGTCCAATTATATCAAGCAACTGGCGATTTCTCCACCCATCATCCCGAAAGCAGAGAAAACTCACAAGGCTCGTTTCCTTCGGAGGAAGGATTGTGCAAGCCTGCTAGTCAAAACCTATGTACATTTCCTCAGGAACAAGCCACCACTGAACTCAGCAGGATTTGCTGCTGTGTAAACGGGAGCATCCGGAAATCACTGTGGCATAACTTGCACTTTTTCTCCCGAGCCAGATTCTGCTTTGCCTGCTGCATCCAATGAATGTCATTCCTCCAAGCGAACACATGCCCACGGCTGTGGCTTCGGCTGACCCAGGTTTACGAGGCCCTGGGGCCGACTTGAGCCTTGGGGAAAAGTGGAATCATCTGGACAAGGGCAGCTCTGGGTATCGAAAATATTTTGCAACTCATGCCAGCCTAGCGATGGTCAAACCCTAGAGATGGAACACTGGGGAGGTAGCCCATGGCTTTTGGATCAAAGCGTAAGGAACCCCCTTCTTTCAAGGCAGGTTTAAGCCGAGGAGGCCAACTGCTTGTGCAAGAGGACAGGGCAGTTTTAAGAATAAGAGCTTGGGCAGCTACGGCTTGCCCTGGGGTAAGAACAGCCACCCTGCCTCCCTGCTCTCTTTGTTGGCCTTGGCCTTTCCTGCAAATGGTCAAGCGGCCCATTTCTACTGCCCACCCTTCGCGTGGTCCTTCTGCTCCCCAACAAGGACCTTTTCCTCCGTCCAGCAGGCTTTGGAGCACCCAATCAGCTGCCCAGGAAAGGGCTTTCTCGCCACCAGACACTGTACTTTCTTTATCGTTGTGCTTTTTGATCTTCCCAATTCAATTCTTTTAAAAACTCGTCTCTTATGTTTAACTGAGTTTTGATATTACATTTTTGGCCTGTTTTGATCTGAATTGTTTCGTTAAATAAAAAAGTTAGTACAAGCAGCTTTGAGTCCCAATTTCGGGGAAACCAATCCAATCAAATGCTAACATTTGATCGCCAGATCCTTCCCTCCCCCCCCCCCAGGAAGGAAACACTGCATTCCCCGCCCCACCCTTTTGGCCATCCAAGGTAACCAAGCGCCTTAGCTATTTTCTCTGGATGCTCTTGGATACCACCTGAGTATTCCCGAACTCGGGTGCCTCCACCCTTATCGGAAGAAGCTGGGGAGGGGGGAGAGCCAGGCTGGGATCTGCCAGCTGGCTGTGAAAAAGGAAGGATCTATCTGGGCGATCATCCTGTGTAGTTCTCAAGAAATCGCTTCTTCGGTTAAAAGGAGCTGTCTGAAGCAGCACTTCTAAGTGCGGGGCCCGATCCTGCGTGGAGATCCGAGACAGGGATTCTACAGGGAAGGAAAGGCCCCTCTTTCGGTTCGCCAACCTGGCCACTGCGGTTGTTGGCCCAGGCAGGTAAATCTGCTTGCCTCGCGTGTTGTTTGTCCTTTCCCCCTTTTTAAAGGGGGGGGGGGAGAGAAGCCAAGCATGGGCGTTTTCTTCCGTCCCGCAGCCAGGGCAATCGCAAAAATCGCTCCCTCGTCCCGTCCTGCCCCAGCTCCATCTCTCTCTCCCCTTGGATCCTTTAGCCCGGGTTGCAATGTAGGTGGAAGCAGCCAATGGAGGGACATCGCGGGGCGGGGGAGGGGGGGACGCGAGGACAGGAGAGCCACCACATGCCCACGTTCAACCGAGCCCGCATCCGCTCTGCTGTTGCTCGGGGTTAGCTCTGCAAAGGTCGTCGGAGTTTGCAAGGGTGGGTCTCTCGGGCGAGCTGTGGAGAAGAGGGCTGGGGCCCGGCCATGCCATTTCCAACTGGTTGCAGCTACCACCAGT